AAAAAGTGATTGAGGCCAACCCTGCACTACTACAAAGTAGCAAGAGTGGTCGAAGCAGCTTTTACCCGAGAAGGTCGGGATCGATTTCCACAAGGAGATAGAGATGGGAATTGAGTTTCTATCTAAACTGGAGTTGCGTAATTGTTCCTAATTGCACTTCTAAACATAGTTGGTTTTGATGTTACTTCTAAATTTATACTAAGATGCTAAACTAAGCTAAGTTAAGCTAAGAGTAAACTACTGAAGGTTGTCTAAATAGTGAAAAGGCACTAGGGAAGTAACTTTCTCCTAGGTGGATACTTGACGGGTTCTCGTGTCTAAGGCTAGGTTGTCATATTTGGGGATTACGATATAACCATTGCACGATTCTACTCACTTTATACCTCTTGGTAGTTTGAGTGATTCTAATTGACTTTCTCAAGATCAATTGGGTATGATAATTTGTGCAAGCAATTGAGGTTCAAGTCGGGTATTACTATCTCTAGGTTTAACCCTTTAATTAGGGATATCAATCTCTTGAGTACACCCCAATTCCTTGTTGGACTAATTTTCCTAGACTTAGCCTCTCTTTCTCGAGAAGAGCCCAAGTCAAAGAGGCATAAACTAGTGTTTGCAACCACTAATTCAACATTAAAACCATAAATTAGTCCAAATATCAAACACCCATAGACAGAAGCCTTAAAACACAAGACCCATCAATTACTCACACTAGGGTTGAGCCACAACCCTAGCTAATGGGTCTAGCTACTAATGATAATAGAAGAAAACAAAGAAATAGATGAAGAAAAACCCATAGTATTTAATTACTAACTAAAACTTGAAGATTCAATATAAAACTATTGTAAAATTACTCAAAATGGTAAAAGGTCACTGTTCACGAGCACAACTCTGCCTAAAATTATAACTCATGACCTAAAAATGGGAAAAGAAACTATTTATACTAGGCCGAATTTTCTGGACAAAAATACCCCTGCGGGGGTAGTGTGAACCGCACAAAATCGAGTGCGGCCGCACTGAGGCTCCTGGCTTAAAACTTCTGCTGAACTTGTCCACCGCCGGCCACACAAAATGCACCGCGGCCGAGGTGGCTTCTGTTGCGGTCCGCACAAAATGGAGCGGACCGCATTGGCAATGTTTCCCCAACTTGGCAACTCTCTGAACTCCAGCTTTGCAGACCCCACAAAATTGAGTGCGGCCGCAATGAAGCCAATGCGGTCCACATGAAATGCTTTGCGGCCGCATTGCTTGAATGCTTGAAATGAGCACCTCTCTGAACCTCCTCTTTGCAGACCACACAGAATGGAGTGCGGCCGCATTGGTCCTGTTACACTGTGCTTGGACTTGTTCTTGGTACTTGTGCATGTTTCACTCCTTTTTTGAGCTGGTTTTGACAAATTGTCACCTTGTTGATCAAACTCTGCAATCAAGTACAACATGTAAGCCTTTGGGACTATTTTGTACACATTTCTAATCAAAACTCAAGTAAGAACGAGTGTAAAATGCATCATAATCCCTAGTTATCAACCGGGAGGGAAATCTCCCCTTTCGTTACCTCGCCGGCCATGTTGAAGCCGTGGAGGACCCGGGAGGCGAGCACGATCTGGTCGAGCAACCCAAGCTATTCTACTACCCCCGATTTGATTATGTTGGCCAAGCTACCTGGATCCACGAGCACACGTTTGATCCGAATGTTACTTTGGAGAGATGAAATTACCAATGCGTCATTGTGCGATTGCGTCAAGGTCTCGAAATCTTCCTTGCTGAATACAAGGGTGTTTTCGGTCGCATGATCTGCGGATATTTTTATCCGTTTGATCACGGGTCCTTGGGGAATGTCGGTCCCTTCGATGATCATATGGACGATATGCTGAGGAATTTCTCTTTTTGCCCAGGTCGGATTTCTCCGAGTTTCCTGCTGAATCTCTCAGTGTGCGCTCTTGTTAATGAGAGAGCCTATATCGATGCGCTGGGCATCGCTTGTGACTCTGTCCACGGGAATTGGTTCTGGTGCGTACTCAGGGTTTTGTGGTGGCACACTAACACCTGAGACGTCAACACCATTTTTTCCATGGTCTTCAAGATTGATGTTTTCGCGTGTGTCCACTGAGTTAGACATTCTGAGCTGAAAGATCTTGGACAAGAAAAAGTGTGAAAGATAACTTGCGTTACGTAGCTAAACCAGCAAAAAAATGATCACTAATATTTTTAGCCCCACGATGGGCGCCAAATTGTTTACCTTGAAAATGGTAATTACAATTAAATTTGATTTTGTGGTTCTAAAAATACGTGATCTATTTTTATGCTGGTTGTTAAGCAATGGATGCTAAAGAAAAGATTAGAAATCGAGATTGCAGCTTAGAGACGATGTGATAATCGAACCAAACAGTTGGAGATCGGGGCCTCGAGCTATCGTTTGTAAGGCCTTGGGGTCGAGTTGGACGACCGGCTTAGAGCGATAGAAGGAGGGTTCACTTTACGAGAGCTATAATGATGACTCTTTATGATCAATGATAAGCAATAAATGAAGAACAATGAATAGAACACAATGAATATAAGCAATAAATGGAAGTAATGAGTTCAAGGGAATATGTTAAGTTAGAGATCAGAGAGAATGTTCTTGTATTCAATATTGAGTCTCAGATGTCTACAGATGATAAGGACCCCTCTTTTTATATGAGGGAGAACCCAATCATAGTACAAAAGCATTTGTTACAAAGTAGGATAGCTGGCACAGCTACCTAGTAATCAAGCGTAGACTGGTACTATTATTGCAGGTGATGTCAATTCGGGCTACATACCTAGGCAACTTCCCGCTTGCCTTCGATAATCACAGACTCATGCTGCGTCGAGGTCGAGTGTGAAGAGCCTTCGAGACCGAAGGTCTTTTGCTGAGTCCCCGGATCTTCGCGGCCTTTTCGAGGCTAAGGGAGAGGCGCAATAACCGCAGAATCGAGCCTCCTGATCCCTTCCGTATACATATAGTTCCTGAAATACTAAGTGATCCTTTTTTGGTATCTACACCGGTCGGAGAATAGATTGTTTCTAGGCGGGTTTACTGAGGTTGTACGGTGATAGTTTGTAGTCGTCAGACCTCAGCCAGCCTAGTTGAGCTAGAGATGCTGGATTTTGATGCTATCATGGGCATGGACTGGTTGTCAGCTTGTTATGCCACAATTAGTTGCCGAGCAAAGACAGCCCAATTTCATTTTCGGGGTGAGCCATTCCTTGAATAGGTAGGTAATACAGCGACACCCAGAGGTAGGTTTATTTCCTATATGAAGGCGAGGAAAATGATCGTAAAAGGGTGTATTTATCATATTGTGCGAGTTATAGATGTAGATGTTGATAGACCTACACTTCAGTCTATTCCAATAGTCAAAGAGTACGCAGATGTATTTCCAAATGAACTTCCAGGTATTCCTCCAGAGCGAGAGATTGATTTTGCCATCGATTTGCTTCCGGTAACTCAACCAATATACATTCCTCCTCATAGAATGGCACCTGCCGAATTGAAGGAGTTGAAGGAGCATTTAAAAGATTTGCTGGAGAAAGGTTTCATCGGGCCCAGTACCTCACCTTGGGGTTCACCGGTACTGTTTGTGCAGAAGAAAGATGGCTCGCTGAGGATGTGCATCGATTATAGGTAGTTGAACAAGGTAACTATTAAGAATAAGTATCTACTTCCAAGGATCGATGACCTGTTTGATCAGTTGCAGGGGGATAGATGCTTTTCAAAGATATATTTGAGGTCGGGGTACCACCAGGTCAGAGTTCGGGAGAAAGATATTCCCAAGACATCCTTCAGGACCCGACATGGCCACTTCAAGTTCCTTGTCATGTCCTTTGAGTTGACGAATGCACCTGCCGTATTTATGGACTTGATGAATAGCCTATTCCGACCATTTTTAGATATGTTCGTGATAGTATTTATTGATGATATTTTGGTTTATTCACATTCAGAGGATGAGCATGCGGACCACCTGCGAGGTACTCCAAACCCTCCGTGATAGTAAATTGTATGCTAAGTTTTCTAAATATGAGTTCTGGTTGAAGTATGTAGCATTCTTGGGGCACATTGTATCCGATGGAGGTATAAAAGTAGACACTCAGAAGATTGAGGCTGTGAAATCCTGGCCTAGACCTACCACTTCGACAAAAGTTCGTAGCTTTTTGGGCTTAGCAGGATAATGCCGGAGGTTCGTAGAGGGTTTTTCTTCTCTTTCGGCACCATTAACGAAGTTGACGTAGAAAGAAACTAAGTTTCAGTGTGACAGAGGCCTGTGAGCAGAGTTTCCAAGAGCTTGAGAACAGGTTGACCTCAGCGCCAATTCTAGCACTTCCAGAGGGTCCAGATGGTTATGCCATGTATTGTGATGCCTCAGGTGTCAGGTTAGGGTGTGTCCATCCACTTAAGATATGGCGGCATTATTTATATAGTGTTTATGTTGATGTATTTACAGATCATAAAAGCCTGCAATATATCTTCAAGCAAAAAAAATTGAATTTGCGACAGAGGCGATGGCTTGAGCTATTGAATGATTACAATGTTAACATTCTCTACTATCCAGGGAAAGCTAATGTGGTAGCAGATGCCTTAAGTCGCTGATCTATTGGTAGCTTAGCACATGTAGAGGCCGAGAAAAGACAATTAACTAAACAGATTCATCAATTGGTTTGTTTGGGGGTCGGTTAGTAGACTCTGGCAATGGTGGAGTTGTACTCCAAAATACTGCAAAATCATCTCTCATAGCTGAAGTAAAGGAGAGGCAGTACGAGGACCCAAAGTTGGTTGAGTTGAGAGAGCGAGTTCCGCAGCACAAGAAGCTATTGTTATAGCTCAAGGGAGATAGGGTTCTCAGATACAGGGGTCGTTTGTGTGTTCCAGATATAGCAGGGCTACAAGACACGATTATGTCAGAGGCACATTATTCGTGGTACTCCATTCACTTGAGTCGACGAAGATGTATCATGACATTAAGGATGTGTACTGGTGGAACGATATGAAGAAGAACATTGCTGAGTATGTCTCTCAGTGTCCTAGTTGCCAACAGGTGATGATAGAGCACAAGAAGCCCGGAGTGCTAATGCAGACTATAGAGATCCCGACATGGAAAAGGGAGGCGATAAACATGGACTTTATCACGGGTTTGCCTCGTTCTCATCGTAAGTTTGAATCCATGTGGGTGATAATCGATAGGCTCATGAAATCAGCTCATTTCCTACCGGTCAGATCTACATATACAGCAGAAGATAATGCAAAATTATATATTAAGGAGATAGTGCGACTACACGGAGTACCAGTATCTATTATATCTAACCGTGGGGCCCAGTTTACAGCACATTTTTGGAGGTCATTTCAGAGAGGTCTAGGTACTCAGGTGAATCTCAACATAGCTTTTCATCCACAAACTGATGGACAAGCCGAGCGCACAATTCAGACACTCGAGGATATGTTACGAGCATGTGTGTTGGATTTTAAAAGAAGTTGGGATGAACATCTACCTCTTATCGAGTTTGCATATAATAACAGTTACCACTCCAGTATCCAGATGGATCCGTACGAGGCTTTGTATGAGCATAAGTGTAGATCTCCTATAGGGTGGTTTGATGTTGGAGAATCTGGGTTACATGGGCCAAACCTAGTTCAGCAGGCCATAGATAAAGTAAAGCTTATCCGGGAGCGACTATTAACAGCTCAGAGTCGTCAGAAGTTATAATCTGACGTGCGCCAATGAGACTTAGAGTTCGGGGTTAATGACTGGGTATTCTTAAAGGTGTCACCTATGAAGGGCGTGATGAGGTTTGGCAAGAAAGGCAAGCTTAGCCCACGGTATATTGGGCCTTATAGGATCATTCGGAGGGTGGGCCAAGTAGCTTATGAGTTAGAATTGCCTCAGAATTGGAGTCTGTCCGTCCGATTTTTTATGTATATATGCTATGGAAGTGCATTGGCGATCCTACCCGAGTGATGCCCACGGATGATGTACAGATTACGGAGGACTTGTCATACGAGGAAATTCCGAATGCCATCCTAGACCGACAAATCTGCAAGCTACGAAAAAATGAGATAGCCTCCCTGAAGGTTTTATGGAGAAGCAAGAAGGTGGAAGAGATGACGTGGGAAGCGGAGGAAGAAATGAAGTCTAAATACCCCCACCTATTTCAAACGGAAGATATGTCTCGAGGTGGGATACCTCAGCACAGCTCTATTCAGGCCAGTAGGTCATCAGGTAAGCTCTTATTTTTGACTTTCATAATTTATAATGGACATCTGTGTGAAGCCAAGTGTTGCTATTTATAAACATTTGCCATGTGTGGCATGTATAGTATGTTTTTTGGCTGCATACAGGTTGGTTTTAGTCTGGTACACAGAGAAGACTCTGGCAAAGTTTTCCCAAAGTCTCTAAGAGTAAAACATTCGGGGACGAATATTTCTAAGGGGGAAAGGATGTTACATCTCGCGTTTTCGTACATTAAAGTTTCGTCTTCAGTTAATTGACGTAGACTCGGGGCTGAGATTTTCTTTAGATTATAAGCATTTATGCTATTTATAACAAGCAAGAAGTAAATGCCGTGAAAGATAAAGGGTAAACGAATTAAAGAAAATGAGTTTCGTTGAAGGTTGTCGATTTGGGATAAAATACGGTCCGAGCTATAATACCCAATATTTATGGGCTAGTGTCATACAAGGTACTACATGACTATGATAGTAAGGTGTACAAGGTATGTTAAAAGTGAGTAGTATTTTAAGTAAGTTGAGATAATTCTTAATTATGTGGGTAATTAGTTAATTATTGGGTAACGGGATATTACCTAATTAATTAAGAATATATTGGATAAGGATTTAATTTCATTAGGTGGCATCCCCCTTCAAACTAAGTGACTCATGACATTATGTAATCAATTTAAGTTGGCACATGGATACTACTCTTAGCCATCTTACAAACACGTAGCAAGGGGGTTGGATTAGTCACCCTATACTGTCTTGAATATCAAAATTCTTTTTGGAGGAAATTTGAAACTTTATATGAAGAAGACTCATATATCTAATAAAGATGAACGCTCAAAGTTGCCGTTGCTTATATTGCTGGAAATTTGGACCTTGCTTCCTACTCTAATTGATTAAGCACCACGGAAACTACAATATGTGCATGACCAACTGATCGCTCCTTGCCCATGCAGATTTTGTCTCAAAATGTTAATGAGTGAATGAATGACTATCAGCTCTTCTCATTGCCCCCCTCAAATAACAACAACAATTAAAAATCTCCCCATTGTTAATTGTTAACGTTAAACCACTGTAAGGTTAAGTTTGTGGAAAAGCTTCTTTAGTATTTATTTCAAAAGATGTGTTCCCAACAGGGAGTTCTTGGTTAGTAAAAGAATTCATACGAAATTGCACTGCGTAATAACAACGGGATTTTACAATTCTAAGGGAGTACGGTGCGATCCTTCTCAAGAATATCATATGAATACTCCAGGTATGTTAAGGCTAAGCCTTCCTTCATTTTGGCAAGATATCTAACTACGCAAGTTTGATAACGAGGCATAAAGAGAAATTCATATACCTGAATTTATGTATATTTTCTAGTATCATAAGTTACAGTATTCTCCCTTATCGGGACTTCATATTCAATTGAGTATTGTCTTATTCTAGTCAAGAGGGCAGAGAATGTATATATACAGTATTACAGTATTTTTACTACCATCGAGCTATAATCGATGGGTAGGCCCCTATTAGGCAACCTTTGATCAGATGGTAAGTTATATACCGAGCCTACTGTGGCCGAGAGCCTATGAGAGAGCCCAGTTGGCCGAGATATAGGGTCTAGTATGGTCGCGCAACTATGAGTGAGCCTACTACGGCAGAGCAGATATATATATATATATATATATATATATATATATACCGAGCCTTAGTGGGCCGGACATCTATTTTACTTACTATATTGAGAGAGTCGAGTTAGTATCAGCAGGTAGCATATCTTCGGATTATCTTTGACTCCCAATTACTTTCAGCTATTATATTATCAGTTCAGTTTCATACTCAGTACATTATGTCGTACTACGTCCCTTTTTCTAGGGACACTTCATTTCATGCGTGCAGGTGCAGACAGACAGACGGGTAGACCTCCTCAATAGTTGTTGCCCGAGTTCAGCTTTATCGGTAAGCTCACGTCCTTCGGGGTTGTCGGGTCTAGAGTTTTGTGTACATCCTGTATATATATATATGTATATAGGTTATGGGTAGGTCGGGGCCCTGTTCCGATCACAGTGTATTCAGCAATAGAGGCTTGTAGACATATCCTGTCAGTTAGTGCATGATAATAGGCTAGATTTATGTAATTTGGCGATTGTTTATGCCCCAGCTTGATTATGTTTCACTGTAATAATATAGTTAAATGATAAAAAATGGGCTCTAATTGTGAATTTCACATGTTGCAGGAGTGAGGGGCTTGTATGAGGCCTTAAAGCTGTGATTGGAGCTACATTGAAGCAAGAAAAACCCCTAGGAGCTGAGTACGCGAGAAGACAAGAAAAAGAATAAATGAAATGAAGGCCTAGACTAGCGCGGCCACTAGCGCATCAACTAGCGCGACTGCGCTAGCCTAGATGGTCAAGGAAGAATGGTAGGGCATATGCGCGCCCACTAGCGCAGCCGTGCTAGCCCAGTTCCGGAATATTAATTTTCAGGGGTAAACTTGGATGTCTGGGGGTAAATTCACTTAACCTATAGAAGGTCAAGCTCGCCCAAGGATTGATTATCAAGGTTTTCATAGCTTAGTGCAAGAAAAGGAGAGGCAAGAGGCAAGGAGGATAATTCAACATCGAGTTCTTCCTTTCTTCCTTTTGTTTTTACGATTTATGATGAATTTGAATATCGTTGTGATGAACACTAGTATGAGTAGCTAAATATTTAGTCTAGGGTTTTGATGGAACCTATTGAGGGTTGAACTTCTTGTTATGTTAATATAGTTTGCCCGATTTAATCTCTATTTGTTCAACTACGTTCTTATTGTTATTAATTGACAGGATCCTCAATTAGCTGTGCCTATTTAGTGTGCATAACTCGGGAGAGAGTGCATATTTAGGTAATTGTTGAACAACACCACTACCAAAGTATATGAGGGATCAATAACCGAGGGTTCAAAGGCGGGATTAGGAATAACGAAGCCTTGGGTGCAATCTAAAGTGGGCTGTAATAAACAAAGCCAGCTAGTGTATCTCGGGAGAGTGCGTCTAGTAAATTATCGTGATTACTCCGGAGAGATTTACGGTAATAATAGTGCTCATGATTGATAGAGATGATTAGGCAATTCTATGTGAAACAGAACCGGAAGGGATTCCATCAATAGGGGAATCATAACCTTAGATCCTTCTCTTAATTGTTTACAACTTAATCATAATTAGTTTTCAGCTATTTATTTACTGTCATTCGTAGTTAGTAGAAATACCATCAATTGTTATTCACAACGTTTGGGAAGCTGACTCCGTGGAATTTAGTAAGTCTAACGAAAGTAATTGATAGGTTAATTCCTTGTGGGTTCGACTCTGAGCTAAATACTCAGATTATATTTGCAACATCCGCGTGTCCTTTTCATAAGGCATAGTTGGGCGTGATCAAATTTTGGCGCCGTTGCCAGGGAATTAACGGTGTTATCAATTACAATTGAAAGGAATACAAAAATTCTTAGTGTAGTCAGTTTTCTCTATACCCAATCTATACATTAAAATTTTAACGTTTGTTGACTTGGTTATACAGGTGCATGCCTAGAAACTCAAAGAGAATTGGTGAAGTATTCGAAGCTCTATCAGATTCCGAAAAAGTTTTTAAGGCCTTGAACCGGGCCAACCGGAAAAGCAAACAGCAACCAACAATTGAACAATTCGAACCGAACATGGGTGATAACGAAAACAATCCACCTGCACCTATAGCGCCACCGGCACCTCTTGTGCCAGAGGCTGCTCTTTATGACTGGGCACAACCCACAGCTGAAAATCTGGCCACAGCGATTGTAGTCCCGCAGATACAGGCTGAATCATTCCAAATCACGAATAACATGCTGCACTTGTTGCAGAACAAGGGACTATTTTCGGGGTCACAAGTCGAAGATCCTCAACAGCACTTGAAGAATTTCCTGTCAATCTGCAAAACCCAAAGGCAGCCCAACATAACTCCGGAAGCAATCAAGCTGTTATTGTTTTCATTCTCAGTGACAGGAGCTGCCCAGACCTGGCTAAACTCACTCCCCATAAATTCCATAACAACTTGGGAGGAGTTAGTCAAGCAATTCCATAACAAGTTCCACCCACCCAACAAGACTGCTCAACAAATTGATGAAATTTTGAGTTTTAAACAGAGACCAATGGAGACACTGCATGAAACATGGGAACGCTTCAAAGGGATGCTGGTTATATGTCCACACCACGGTGTTCCAGATCTGATGTTGGGGCAGCGGTTTTACATGGGATTGTTAGATAGCATGAAGAACATAGTTGATGCTTCAGCTGGTGGAGCATTTTTGAGCAAAACATGGAGAGAAGGCCAGAGTCTACTTGACAAGATGGCACAGAATTCGGGATGGACAACCAGGAATGCACCTATCACCCCAATGGTTCACTCAGTGCCCTTAGATCCATCTAACTCTATGGCTGAAAATATGGCCACCTTATTGACTCAGATGAGTATACTCACCAAAAAGGTGGAAGAATCAGGGCAGAAGCAGCAGGTACACATTGTAGATACTACCAATGGGGGCTAGTGCACATCTTGCATTAGTCAGCCAATTGGTAACCAGTGGAATGCGGAATATGATCATCATCACTACCCTGAAGACATGAATTATGTGTCTAATTATGGAGGCCAGAGACAGGGTGGTCAAAATTGGGGTCAGCAGCAACAGCCTTACAGGCCAGTCCAGCCACAGTTCAACAATGGAAACATGGGAGGTATGAGACCTCCTAATAATATGGCACCTTACCAAAGGCCACAGGGATACAATAATCAGAATCTGCAGCAGGGGTATCATCCTCCGCAGCAGCAGCATGGTGGACGGTAGGAAGATGGGTTTGCTAGACTCGAAGCAATGATGCAACAGGTTATTGGGTCTAATGCAAAAATTAGTGAAAGAGTAGATGCACATGATTCAGCTATCAAGAATATTGAAGTGCAGATGGGCCAAATTTCGATGTCTCTAAACAATCGNTTGAATTCAGAAGTAACCAACCAGGAAGTGTATGAAGGGCTAAAAGGCATAGGTGATGATAAGGCACCAGGGATAGATGGATACAATGCTGTATTTTTAAAGAAGGCATGGCATGTTATAGGGGATGAGGTGACTAAGGCAGTGCAGGAGTTCTTCAACACAGGGAGAATGTATAGAGCTATTAATTGTACAGCTATAACTTTGATACCAAAGACCGATAATCCAGCAACAATTAAAGAATATAGGCCAATAGCATGCTGCACAGTGTTGTACAAGGTGATCTCCAAGATATTGGTAGCTAGAATGCAGAAGATACTAGGAGCAATCATATGTGAAGCACAAGCTGGATTTGTACCAGGAAGAAGAATAGGAGATAACATCATTATGGCACATGAATTAGTTAAAGGTTACACAAGAAAGCACATATCTCCAAGGTGCATGATTAAAATTGACTTACAAAAAGCCTATGACTCAGTTGAATGGAGCTATTTGGAGCAGATTATGAGACTAATGGGGTTCCCTGAAAGATACACAGCTTGGGTGATGGAATGTGTGAAGACAGTAAACTATACAATCATAGTAAATGGGGAGCCAACAGAACCATTTGATGCCAAGAAGGGATTGAGACAAGGGGATCCAATGTCCCCATTTTTATTTGCAATAGCAATGGAGTACCTAAGCAGATCATTGAAGGAAATGACACAAACCAGGCAGTACAAACATCATCCCAGATGTGCCAAATTATCACTAACTCATTTATGTTTTGCAGATGATCTCTTAATTTTTTCCAAGGGAGAAGCAGAATCAGTAATGAAATGCTTCAATCAATTTTCAACAGCTTCTGGGTTACAAGCAAATAAAGGGAAAAGTTCAATTTACTTTGGAGGAATGGGACAACAAGAACAAGAACAGATACTGCAGGAATTAGGATTTACAAGAGGCGAACTGCCATTTAAGTACTTAGGAGTGCCACTCTCAACTAGGAAGCTGACAATGATACAATGGAAACCAATCATTGACAAAATTGTGGCAAAAATTACTTCATGGACAGCAAGAAAATTGTCATATGCAGGAAGGAGTCAATTGATAAACAGTGTCTTATTTGGAGTTCAATCATACTGGGCTCAAGTGTTCATCTTACCAGCAAAAGTAATGAAAGCAGTGGAAAGCTTCTGCAGAAGCTATCTTTGGACTGGAAACAATACTATTTCAAAAAAATCATTGATCAGTTGGGATAGGGTATGCAGCCCAAAAAGCAGTGGTGGATGGAATATCATAAATATGAAGCTGTGGAATAAAGCTGCCATAGGCAAGCTTTACTGGAATGTGGCACAGAAGGAAGATAGAATGTGGATAAAATGGATACATGCATACTATATAAAAGGGCAGCAGATGGAACAAGTTAAAGTACCAACACAGGCAAGTTGGATGGTGAGGAAAATACTGGAAGCAAGGCATATCATAGAAAAAAACAATGTGCAGATAAGTAAGGGAAAAGGGATCATAAAGCAGATATACCTGAAGCTGTTGGAAGATCAACCTAGAGTCATGTGGAAATGTCTGATGTTTGGCAATGCTGCAAGGCCAAAAGCAAAGTTCACTTTGTGGTTACAACTGCAGAACAAACTACTTACAGTGGAAAGGTTAAAGAAATGGGGGATTCAGGGAGAAGACAAATGCAGCTTATGCCAGGGACAAGAAGAAACAAGAGATCACATTTATGTAGAGTGTAGCTACACAAGGGAGGTACTAAAGAGAGTGATGCACTGGGCACAGAAACTAAGCCTAACAGGAACTAACTGGGAGCAACATGTGCAAGAAGTGATTAGAAAAGCTAAAGGGAGATCAAGAGAAGCACAACAATTCAAAATGCTATACACAGAAATGGTACATAATATATGGATAGAGAGAAATCAGAGAATTTTTGAAAAGAAAAATAAGAACTGGGAGAAGATAGCTAAGGATACAGTGTATGTTTGTTGCGCACGAGCTCCTCCTAGTATAGCTGAATTGTGCAGGGATATAGATTTTAAAAGCTAGATAGGAAGAGCATGAGATTGTAATGTCCATATGATAGTTATGCTGTGATAGCTAACTATGGAGCTTTGTAAATATTACTGGTGATTAATATAAAGGTTAATTACCAAAAAGAAAAATATAAACTTTGAGATTAGAAAAGGAGAGCTTGCGGCTGTAGTGTGGACAGTTGGGGGGAGAAGTTTTCCCTCCGTGCATAAGTACTTGGTTAGATGCACAAGTAGTTGGGTCGGGTATAGCTCTCATCCTTCTGTTTGTTTGATTAATACAAACTTAATGTAGGCTGCCAATTACCTTTTGCTTCTTATTGCTCCCTCTTTTATGTGTTATAAAAAAATAATGTAAACTATTAAGCGATTACCTCTTAAGTACAATTTTGTCTTTTTATTGGTGGCCTGGTACATTCTCATTAGTTTATTCTTTGCAGAGGCGAATCTAGAATTTCAAGAAGATGGGTGCACCACTGACGACGAGCTTGAAACAAGTCACGAATGCAAGATGTTGTCTGTAACTCCAACAATTGCTAAGTTAAGGTTTGATAGTTGATATTCGGCTATATAGATGATATTTACACCTTAATATTACCATACTTTATTATTGTTTTATAGGCAAATTGCCAACAGAATGCTCTAAATGGTGTTCTTTTATTTCGCAGGGAATATTCTAAGTAAGGAAGCACCACGAAGTGTTTTGGAGGCAATAATGTGAAGAAAACGCCCACTCAAGAAGTACCCGAGCACAAAGAAGCAAGAAAATGAACTGAGCAAATTCCACCGCGACCGCGGTGGAACCGCAGGAGAACCGCGGCGGATCAAGTCATTGCGGCAGAATACTCAGCGCTCACCGCGGTCGAGCCGCGGTCTTGCCGCGACCGCGGTGCACTGTTCACTCGCCAGGAATTTGGGGACCAAAGTGTGAATTCGGGAAAACTTGTGCCAAACCCTTATAAGCTTTAGGAACCCGCCCAAGATTATTTTAAGCTTATTTTTAGAATACGTTGGAGGCAAGAACAAGTGTGAGAAGAATAACAAAACATTAGAGTTCTTCTATCCTCTCTTTATTATATTTCAATTGCCCATTATGAATAATTTAGTAGTTTTATCTTGTTTTGTCATGAGTATCTAATTTCCTAGTCTAGGATTTTGATGGAACCTATTGAAGGATGAACTTCTTGTTATGTTAATATAGTTTGCCGGGTTAATCTCTATTTGTTCAACTATGTGCTTGTTGTAGTTAATTGACAGGATCCTCAATTAGCTGTGCCTATTTAGTGTGCATAACTCCGGAGAGAGTGCATATTTAGGTCAGTTGTTGAACAACACTACTTCCAAAGTATATGAGGGATCAATAACTGCGGGTTTAAAGGCGGGATTAGGGATAACGAAGCCTTGGGTGCAATCTAAAGTGAGCTGTAATGAATAAAGTCAGCTAGCGTAACTCGGGTGAGAGCGTCTAGTAAATTATCGTGATTACTCGGGAGAGATTTATGGTAATAATAGTGCTCATGATTGATAGAGATGATTAGGCAATTCTATGTGACACATAACCGGAAGGGATTCCATCAATAGGGGAAATCATAACTTTAGATCCTTCTCTTAATTGTTTACATCTTAATCATAGTTAGTTTACAGCTGTTTATTTACTTTCATTCTTAGTTAGTAGAAACATATTCAATTGTTATTCACAACGTTTGGGAAGTTGATTCCATGGAATTTAGTAAGTCTAACGAAAGTAATTGATAGGTTAATTCCTTGTGAGTTCGACTCTGGGCTAAATACTCAGATTATATTTGCAACATCCGCGTGTCCTTTTTATAAGACATAGTTGGGCGTGATCAAATTTTGGCACCGTTGCCGGGGAATTAACGATGTTATCAATTACAATTGAAAGGAATACAAAAATTCTTTGTGTAGTCAGTTTTCTATATACCCAATCTATACATTGAAATTTTAACGTTTGTTGACTTGGTTGTACAGGTGCATGCCTAGAAACTCAACGAGAACTGGTGAAGTATTCGAAGCTCTATCAGATCCCAAAAAAGTTTTAAGGCCTTGAACCGGACCAACCGGAAAAGCAAACAGCAACAAACAATTGAACAATTCGAACCGAACATGGGAGATCACGAAAACAATCCACCTGCACCTATAGCGCCACCGGCACCTCTTGTGCCAGAGGCTGCTCTCTATGACTGGGCACAACCCACAGCTGAAAATCTGGCCACAGCGATTGTAGTCCCGCAGATACAGGTTGAATCATTCCAAATCACAAATAACATGTTGCACTTGTTGCAAAACAAGGGACTATTTTCGGTGTCACAAGTCGAAGATCCTCAACAGCACTTGAAGAATTTCCTGTCAATCTGCAAAACCCAAAGGCAGCCCAACATAACTCCGGAAGCAATCAAGCTGTTATTGTTTTCATTCTCAGTGACAGGAGCTGCCCAGACCTGGCTAAACTCACTCCCCATAAATTCCATAACAACTTGGGAGGAGTTAGTCAAGCAATTCCATAACAAGTTCCACCCACCCAACAAGACTGCTCAACAAATTGATGAAATTTTGAGTTTTAAACAGAGACCAATGGAGACACTGCATGAAACATGGGAACNAGCCTCGTCACTACTCGACCGAGGTTAAGCTTGCCACTTAGTGGGTACCGTTGTGGTGTACTCATGCCCTTCTTTGCACATATTTTCCGTATGCAAATCCAGGTACCGCTTATCAGCCGCATTATTAGTGAGGCGTGCCAACTATAGAGACTTCAAGGTATATTTGCCGCGCCCGCAGACCTCGGAGTCCCTAGCTACTCTTCCCCATTTCAAACACTTCTTGTATTCCCTTTGTTTGGACTCTGAAGTATAGAAATACTGTTTTCTTTTGTAGTTTGTGACTTACGATATTCTGGGTTTTGGGAGAGTGTATGTACATTTCGAGAGTGATTATTGTATATGCCGAGCGGCATCTAAATTTCTTATTTAAATCTACCTGTTTGCTATTAGTTGTTATGTTTTCGCTTCATATTTTCGCAAATGTTAGGCTTACCTAGTCGTAGATACTAGGTGCCGTCACGAAGGTTCACAAAGTGGGAACTTGGATCATGACAGAAACACTCTTATCTTTTGGCTCAAATCAGCGTTTCATATGGTTTCGTCTTCAGAGAAAAAAAAAACTCTTTGCATTTCTCCTTCAGAGATCATGTACTCCATTTGGGTGAATTTCTCAACTTAATGTCTTCCTTTACTGTTAGAGTTTGCTGTTTTTTCTTGTGCTGCTACCTTCTTTGTTCGTTAGTTTTCCGCTGTTCTTTCTCTATTTAAGAGCCCGTTTGGATATAAGAATTTTTTTTTTTTTTTTTTGCGAATTTTTTTTACTTTTTTTAAATCAGCATTTGGTCATAAAATTTCCAATTTTCACTTGAAGATGCATTTTGGAATTTTTCGAAAATTTGAAAAACTGCAAAATACTGTTTTTCAAAGTTTTCACTCAGATCACTCACAAAACTTCAAAAACAACCCAAAATTATATTCATGTCCAAACACAACTCTAATTTTCAAATACCAATTTTACTTGAAATTTTTTTTCACTTTTTTTTTTTAAATTTTACAATTCTTATGTCCAAAAGCCCACTAAGATATCCAGTTGTTGCTAATTAAACTTTGGTGGATTTATATTAGGTCTTCTACTTATGTGATAGGCTTTTCATTTTTGTTGGATTTTCTATATACTTGTCTTTAACTTTGTTAAATTTGCATATGCATTTTTGGAATAAGATACATTCATGCAAAAATTTGGATATTTGATGCATTCAAATCTTACTTTTGGGCAATCAAACTTAATTCTCTATTTCTCCTCTTCAATTTTGGGACTTTTGTTTCTCCAATTTCTGTTATTTTTTAAAGATTTCGACTCACTTCATCCCTTTTAGTTTTTTCTATTTTTCCCCACATTTTGAATAGCATAAGAACATCATGCTTTTTACATACTACTATTGTGTTCTATTATTAGGATGTAGTCTGACTTAGGGGTGTGCATTCGATTTATCGATTCGATTTTGACCCTTATCGATAATTACTTATCGATTATCGATTTGTACATATGCTTATCGTTATCGTTTCAATAAGGTTTCGATTTTTTCGATTTCGATTTATTGATTTTTGGGGCTTATCGATTCGGTTATCGATTACACCAATAAGAAAATTTGCGGGATTCCACGGAAAGTATATCGCTATAAACACGCCTAACTAATATGGACCAAAAGAAGCTAAAATAAGACGAACAACGTTTATAACATAAAAATTGTGTCAACAAGCATATGCAACGAAACTAAAGTAAGGGATCAAATGTATGCCGCCAACACTCCAACGGTATAAAAAAAAATACATCATCACGGCTAATTCTATTTTCCATTAATTTGAACTTCATTCCCTTGAGCTTTAAGTATGATCATTCCTTAAATGTGGTAGATGAAATAATAGGGTTAGGGACTTAGGGTAAAGGAAAGGGTATTATAGAATAAGGGTAAAAAAAAAAAAAAAAAAATTTTTTTTAGTATTTCTTATAAATCGATAAACCGAAGAGGACAAAATCGAAATCGAAATCGATAACTCGATAAGGAAAATTTCGAAATTGAAATCGATATATCGATAAACCGATAACAAATAATCGATTCGATTTATCGATAAACCGATTCGAATGCACACCCCTAGTCTGACTCCTTTACTCTTCTTCTATTAAGTTTTTAGTACGCTAATTATGGTAATGTCCATTGTTCGAAAGGTATTAGAGGCTCTAAGATTGTAGCTATGGGGTCAATGAGTAATATTTGCATGTGATGTAAGCAAGATAAATAACTTGCCAATATTTAACGACTTGATTACAAATGACTTAAATGACAAACTGTTGAACTAGAACAATATACATTACACTCTTTTTTAATCTCATTGTTNTTAGTTTTTAGTTAGGATTAACGGGCTACGAGCTAAAATCGAAAGAGAACCCATAGCGTTGATACACCTGAACACAATAGACACTAGAGTGTAACGTTTAGTCCAAGTGGTTGATTCTTACTAAAGTGCCTTAAATTGTATGTTTGTCACCGACTTGAATGCTCAGAAGAGAATGTCTTGATAAGCCAATCTGGAATGAGTCATATGCCATGTGTGTGTGAGTTTTACTGTATTCCATGATTCACATTTGATGCCTAGAACTTGCCCCGTGTGTTTGCAAAGCGAAATAGTAGTTTCATTCAGTCTGAGAAGTGATAAAGGCATTTCTTTGTTGAGCCAGACATATAAAGTAAACCCACCTAATTGTAATACATCTTAGTTAACCCCGTTGAGCCTATAACCCTGTTTCTTTGGCAACCACAATGCGAACCTTACCCAATTGTTTGAATAGCCTTCTGTTTGAACCCTTGTACCTCCCATAAGCACTTTAATGATATTGAAATTATGCAAAAGCAAAAGTGTGGGGTGGTGGTTTGGTTTTTGAGTGGAACCGTTGAAATAGAGAAAAGGTGCAGTGTTTGGAAAAGGAAAAGAATAAGCACCACTTAGAAAAAGAAAAAAATGAGTAAGGGTAGTAATCAATAAGTGGTGGTTTGTTATAATTGCACCTAATGGATGGGGTTGTTGTAAAAGTGGTGGAATGTTTGGTTGACATAAGTATGGTTTTGAATGTTAATGTAATTGTATTAAAAAGTGCTTAGAGAGGCTAGTCACTATATCCAAATATATTCTACCCGTCCCTTAGCCTACATTACAACCAAGTGAAGTCCTATTGATCTTAGACTGAGTGGGCTCGATTAGTAAAGTAGTACACTACGGGCAAGCCTACGGTGCATCTTTGTGGCATGTGAATGTTCTTTTTTAGAGTGAGCAAATTTTGTCTATCTAAGTTCCTAATTGTTCTAAAGATCATTATATGTGGAACTACTCTCTTGTGTGAATGTGAGGGCATGTGATTCATGAAGGAAAGGCAAGTCTTGACTTCTGTGTAGAATAGCTTGAGAAAGTATGAATATTGCACGGCACGTGAGAGTCGACTTTTGATGCTATTGTTCACTACTAGGCGTAACTTATGTGATTTGTTCTTGGTGTGATGCGTTAGGGAATAATGCTTAGTTAAGGAACCTCTATAGAGTGTGGTGGATTGCTCGAGGACTAGCAATGATTTAAGTGTGGGGTGTTGATAATAGGTTAGATTTATGTAATTTGGCGATTGTTTATGCCCCAGCTTGATTATGTTTCAATGTAATAATATAGTTAAATGATGAAAAATGGGCTCTAATTGTGAATTTCACACGTTGCAGGAGTGAGGAGCTTGTATGAAGCCTTAAAGCTATGATTGGAGCTACATTGAATCAACAAAAACCCCTAGGAGCTGAGTACGCGAGAAGAAGAGAAAAAGAATAAATGAAATGAAGGCCTGGACTAGCGCGTCCACTAGCGCGACCGCACTAGCCCAGATGGTCGAGGCAGAATGGTAGGGCATATGCGCGGCCATTAGCGCACCCACTAGCGCGGCCGCGCTAGCCCAGTTCCGGAATATTAATTTTCAGGGGTAAACTTGAAAGTCTGGGTGTAAATTCACTTAACCTATAGAAGGTCATGCTCGCCCAAAGATTGATTATCAAGGTTTTCATAGCTTAGTGCAAGAAAAGGAGAGGCAAGAGGCAAGGAGGATAATTCAACATCGAGTTCTTCCTTTCTTCTTTTTGTTTTTACGATTGATGATGAATTTGAATATTGTTGTGATGAACACTAGTATGAGTAGCTAAATATTTAGTCTAGGGTTTTGATGGAACCTATTGAGGGTTGAACTTCTTGTTATGTTTAGTTTGCCCGATTTAATCTCTATTTGTTCAACTACGTTCTTACTGTAGTTAATTGACAGGATCCTCAATTAGTTGTGCCTATTTAGTGTGCATAACTCGGAAGAGAGTGCATATTTAGGTAATTGTTGAATAACACCACTCCCAAAGTATATGAGGGATCAATAACCGAGGGTTTAAAGGCGGGATTAGGGATAACGAAGCCTTGGGTGCAATCTAAAGTGAGCTGTAATAAGCAAAGCCAGCTAGTGTATCTCGGGAGAGTGCGTCTAGTAAATTATCGTGATTACTCGGGAGAGATTTACGGTAATAATAGTGCTCATGATTGATAGAGATGATTAGGCAATTCTATGTGAAAAAGAAGCGGAAGGGATTCCATCAATAGGGAAAATCATAACCTTAGATCCTTCTCTTAATTGTGTACAACTTAATCATAGTTAGTTTTCAGCTGTTTATTTACTGTCATTCGTAGTTAGTAGAAATACCATCATTTGTTATTCACAACGTTTGGGAAGCTAATTCCGTGGAATTTAGTAAGTCTAACGAAAGTAATTGATAGGTTAATTCCTTGTGGGTTCGACTCTGGGCTAAATACTCAGATTATATTTGCAACGTCCGCGTGTCCTTTTTATAAGGCATAGTTGGGCGTGATCAGTGCAGTATGTTGGGCTTGTAGGCCCTGTATTTATATTTTGTTGGCTTGCCAGTTGTAGTAGTTATGACGACCTTGCCGGCCCAGCTTTATATTGATATTTAGTCGGGGAATTTGCATCTATACCCGCTTTTTGGGTCACGTTTTTTAATTTAACCGCTTTGCAAAAAAAATTGCAAACGTACCCACTTTTTCGCTTAACTTCAGCATACGGGTCTGAAGTAGCAAAGGCAATCACGCAAACTTCAGCATTCTAGTAGACGGGCCTGAAGTAGCAAAAATTGCTGAACCAAGTGTGCTAAAGTTTTGTTCTAGTGCTGAAGTTTTGTTCTCTATTTGCTGAAGCTTTTATTTGTAATTGCTGAACTTAAGCATTCTAGTAGCTGAAGTTTTGTGATGCTGAAGTTATTTAGTTCATTTGTAAAAACTTCACCATTAAATAAGCTGAAGTTTTTTTGTCCTGGATTCATTAGTTTTGTCATAAAGCTTTTTCAAAAACTTCAACAGAAGATGCTGAAGTTATTTAGTTCATTTGTAAAAACTTCAGCACTATATAAGCTGAAGTTTTTTTGTCCTGGATTCATTAGTTTTGTCATAAAGCTTTTTCAAAACCTTCAGCAAAAGATGTTGAAGTTATTTAGTTCATTTGTAAAAACTTCAGCACTAAATAGGGGCGACCAAATAGGGCGCCCCATACAATTTTTACTATTTAGTCAGCGTTAGTTTCCATTCAACTTTATATTTTGTTTCCCAAATTCTCTTCCAATGTGGCCCATGGCCAACGTATGACATTATATGTTTAGAATGCCTTAGTCGCAAGTTAATACACAAAAATAGATGAGACACGGGTGCCGGTCTCGTCCCAGGTTCGGGGCGTGACAGATGTACCGTATCGATTTAAGCGTTCACAATTTTCACCCACATAAGGCTTTGGTGGAGTGCCAAAAGTTCAGCTATCAAGATTCTAGAAATTTTGGAGTTAGTCTCTCCAAAAGCTGTATATAAAGGGGACTTTAAGCTTAATTGAGTAGGGGTGTGCATTCGATTTATCGATTCGATTTTGACCCTTATCGATTATCGATTTGTACATATGCTTATCGTTATCGTTTCAATAAGGTTTCGATTTTTTCGATTTCGATTTATCGATTTTTGGGGCTTATCGATTCGGTTATCGATTACACCAATAAGAAAATTTGCGGGATTCCACGGAAAGTATATCGCTATAAACACGCCTAACTAATATGGACCAAAAGAAGCTAAAATAAGACGAACAACGTTTATAACATAAAAATTGTGTCAACAAGCACATGCAACGAAACTAAAGTAAGGGATCAAATGTATGTCGCCAACACTCCAACGGTATAAAAAAAAATACATCATCACGGCTAATTCTATTTTCCATTAATTTGAACTTCATTCCCTTGAGCTTTAAGTATGATCATTCCTTAAATGTGGTAGATGAAATAATAGGGTTAGGGACTTAGGGTAAAGGAAAGGGTATTATAGAACAAGGGTAAAAAATAAAAAAAAAAAATAAAAAAAAAAAAGAAAAAAAAAATTGTATTTCTTACCGATAAATCGAAGAGGACAAAATCGAAATCGAAATCGATAACTCGATAAGGAAAATTTTGAAATCAAAATCGAAATCGATAAATCGATATCGATAAACCGATAACAAATAATCGATTCGATTTATCGATAAACCGATTCGAATGCACACCCCTATAATTGAGGGGTGAAAACCGATAAGGCTCTAACAAATCTTTACAATTTTTAGTTATAGGCATATCCTGAAACTACTCAATATTTCAATGCAATCTTTTATTATCTTTATTTATTATAATAAATCGAACCCTTAAATCTCTTGCAAAGGAGGTGTCAACTTTGTGCTCAGTCCTCTCTTTATTTGCAACTGGCAAGCCAAAAAGACGAGAGCGCGCGCTTGAGTTCAAAATGACTAGAAGCTGCTTCTAGTCTTATACATGTGCTGAAAAAGGTTTTTTTTCCCTTCTTAAAGTATTTAGTTAGAGACATTTATCTCCATAATGAATAATGATTATCTTAATTAATTATCTCAAACACTAAAATGTTGTTCAAGCAAAATATTGCACAAAATTGTGGAAATAACTTCAGTTATTCTTTTTAAAATATCCAACTTTTTATTCCATGCACTCTTTTCAACCAAAACTTTTTTTGTTTAACCATCTGGTGTCAAAAGCCATTATCTCAATAGATTAGCGCCAAGAAATCCCACTAATGGGGTCAACCGCTCCCTACAGAAAAATGCACAATCTACATTCCATAGAGTTCGAACTCAAGACCAGCTCTCTCAGAATCATTGCCCTTTTCTCTTTTTGGGGAGTGTTTTTGGGGGGGGGGGGGGGGGGGGGGTAGGGGGTAGGGGGGAGGCAGAATTATTATAAGTGATATTGAATATTCAAAGATTCCAGATAGCGAGTACTGTATAATTTAGTAGCTGAAGTAGAAGATAACGCAAAACACCCCATATACAACTAATCGAAGAAAATCAACAACCCGATTAGCTTACTAGTATAATCTGCTTAGCAAATTTGAAAATCAAAAAGCAAATATCCATGAACCATCACCATACTTAACAATTCTTGACCAAAGAAAAATTACACCTTAATTAGAGAGCAATAAAATAAAAATTTCTGATCCGAGCAGAGATCCAGTAGAGCTTAGTAAAGTGAAGTTGTTGTATACTTAGCCGGTGTAGACATGGACGCCAACGGCAATGAGGAGGATGGTGATAAGGCCGAAGTAAATGACGGTGTGGACCAAAATGGCAGCACCGCTCGTTTGCATACCACCGAACTCCACCACTTTTCCACGGCCGGGTAACTGGAAGAGCAGCCCTGGTGATAACAGCACGAACAGCACCACCGCTATTAACACTGGTCCCCAATCCGCCATTTGTTAGGAGGAGTAACTTGGTTGATTCTAGAGAGGAAAGAAATAGAGGAAAATGAGAATCTCACACGGAACTACTGCTAATGGTGCAGCAGATGTGGCCAAAACTGAAACGATAGGGACAGATTTATTAAATTTGTTGGATGTTGCTGTCAATTGAATAGGGTTCCGTTCACAGCCTCGTCAGTCGCGCATTTCTGTCTCGGGCTTTGCTTTTGGCCGGTGGCTCTCATCCTCCCAACACATTTTTCTTCTTTTTCTTCTTTTATTTTTTCGCGAGTTAATTAGATAGAAAGTTAGTATTACGTAAACCATTGAGATAGACATCTTCTGTTAAGAAAATGTATATCGGTTATTCAATAGTTCAATTATCTATGTAGCAATTTGTGATATTATTTGTACTCCACCGTTTCATATTAGATGAGATACTTTCCTTTTTAGTCTGTTCCAAAACAAATGACACGTTTCTAAATTTGGAAATAATTCAACTTTAAACTCTTCATTTTATCCATTTACCCTTAATGAGAAGCTTTTATAGCCACACAAATGGCATGGCCCCACATCCCATAAACATTTAAGACCACAAGTTTCAAAAGTCTTCTTCTTTTTTCTTAAACTCCGTGCCGAGTCAAACTACCTCATCTAATATGAAACGGAGGGAGTAACTTTTAATTGTTATTTTTATATAATTGTTATATTTGAATACTTTTCATTGCATTAATAGAGTAATACATAATTCAGATTAAAGCTTAAATTCTATGTCAAATCAAGGACAACATTAAAAATGGGATGTGGAGTAATACATAATTTTCATATTTTTTTTCATTTTGGTACAGTGGCAAACATGATTTCTAGCCCAAAGTCCAATATCAATTGGATCTGGAATAGGGTTTATTCCTGCAATTTACCCAAACAATCCAATACCACGGGCCACATTAGCTTGCATTCCCACTACTCAATACTCATACCCGTTACAAATGGAGATCCCTTCTTTTTTTCGGGGACCAAAGACTGAAATGGAATTATAGAGGGACTCTGAACAAAATAAATATTTGAATAAGTTAAAAGTTATGTGCAAATTTTATATTTGGAATATCTAAGGATGGAGTCCTTGGAATTTTAATGTTCCAATGTTATAAAAAATACTCCCTCCGGTCCAAAATAAGTGATTTTTTGGTCTTTTTCTTGTGGTCCAAAATAAGTGATTTTTCCAGATTTCAAGAATGAATTAATTATTTTTTTCCTACATTGTCCTTAGAATAAATAGTGTTGGAATATGTGTTAGGAGTGTTTATGTGAGATAGTAAAGGTTAATATGGTCAATTCAATTGCGAATTAATGCTAAAAAGTGAATTTCTTAATCTGTATGAAAACATCCTAAAAATCACTTATTTTGGACCGGAGGAAGTAATGTTAAGAATAAGTATTAAGATAAAATAATGGCACATGAGTTCTATGGTACCTTGAGAAATGTTCATGTGGTACGAATACGTTGAAATTGTTCATTTTAGCATTCGTGGCTGCACGTCATTTTCATTTACTTTATCTAGAGCACTAGAAAAGATCACGCAAATAGAAAAAGGAATTTGGCCATACTTTAGTGATCTTTTAATTACAACAATGTAGCAAGCTAATATATTTTTGTACATCTTTGAAATGCAACTTAAACCCTTTTAATTTTATGAAGATAAAAGGTGGAAAATAGCGTCACAATATTTTCAAGTGTTTAAATTTATATACTGAACCCGAAAATAAACGATATAGTAACTGCTTCATTACATTTACAAAGCTTGAGGCTTTTTAGCAAAGTGAAAAGAAATAATGAATAAATATACCCATACAATAAGCCAAAACAACAGTAACAGCACATTTTTTTCCTTGCAAAACCCAAACTACTAGAAAATAGAATCGAAAAAAAAGGAAAAGAATACAAGAAAAATTAGTGAAAGAAAATACGAACACGAACAGCTAAAATGAGAATGGTAAAAACCACGAAGAAAATCAGAGTGTGAATGAGAACAGCTTTGCCATTGGTAGTGAAACTGCCAAATTCCACATGTCGCTGATTTCCTGGCAGCTGAAATACCACACCTGGCGAAAGCAGGATGAATAGAAGATAACCTATCAGAATTGGTGCCCAATCAATCATATTTCTGCTCTTTTTTTTTAATGTTGAACGTAACTTGCAGGCTATGCAGTTGTGTTTAATTAAAGAAAGAAGATGATGAAAAGTTCAGTTTACCGACTGCTTCTTAAATTGTTTTGCACTGTGTGTGCATCAGAAATTCTATGCTTTTTCCTCAAGGGAAGGATAGCGTTACTGCTTTTCTAAACATGCCTGCAGAGCCCTGGGATTGAGGGAAAAGCATTGATCTTTTCCTTGTGATCTTTATATACATACTACTTTTTTTTTTTACCATATAGTAATAGAATTAGTAAGAAACTTTATCTTACTCTCTTCGTAAGGATTTAAAGTGGCAACAGAAACTGAGATTTCTAGCAATAGCCTCGCAAAAATGAAAATTTATATGGATAGAAACTAAGGATCCACCAAACTATATGGAGAATCAGGTCCTCTATTAGTTTCCACAGAATACACGCACACTACAGTAAGTAAATGATACAATGAAATTTTACGTGGAAAACTCCCAGTTCACGGGATTAAAAACCACGACCTACCCTTGTAGGATTTCAACTTCACTACTGAGCAAACTTCGGATTACAACCTATTGTAACCTAGGAATTAACCTCTTAATCCCTCACTAACTTGTAAAAACTCTATTACAAGCCCCTTTGTAATAACTCTATTACAAAGCTTACAACTCGACTGACTCTAGCCAAGACACAAACACAATGGTTAATGATTTTACAAAGGTTTCCTACACAATGCTTCTAACTAAGCTAAGTAGGAATTACAAGTAAAGTACTTTAACAAAGGTGCAACACAACTAAGGACATGTAATGACTCAATACAGGGAACTGATCCATTGTTATGTTATTCTTGATGCCCTTGAGAATCACTTGCCAGATTGATTGACCACTTGCGAGAATACTTGGTTGATTCGTGAATGTGTGTGATATTTTACCTTTGCTTCAATGTTAATATTGCAAAGGTAACATCACTTGAATGATGCAATCATGTTTTGTACAAGGGCATTCCTCATAAAGTTGACTGCTACGCTGTTTGCACTGTTGCGTGTGCAGACATCAACTTTACAGCTGTCGAGGGGTTGACTGATACAGTCATCAAGGGAACTGGTGTTCATCTATTCCCTCTACTGTTTCTCTGACTCTGAAGAGTTGAACCACATCCCCAACTTGAGACTTGTCATTTTTAAGTACTTGAGGATGTGTAACAGGTTCCTCATCTAGTTCTTATCATTAAGTTTGTTAGATCATCAAAACATAACAGGGATGCATATAACCTATCGATTTCCCCCTTTTTGATGATGACAAACATATAATTGAAGTTCCCCCAAAGATCCAGAATAGCATACGTATTTTATGTATTCTCCCTGAATCTGTTCCCCATCAATTAATTTTCTCCCTTTTGGCATCGTAAAAAGAGCAGTAGCAGGAAATAAGCAAAAAGAAGTCTAGCATGGTTAACTAATGCAACATGTGTGCACATAAACATGACTAACGGGCACCCGGTACCTTACTTAACCGAGTACCAACATAACATATCTTTCTTATTGTACTTTCATTGGCAAACGGGCCAAACGGGCCGTCATGGGATAACTAGAATAAACATAGGGGAATACTCAATATAGGACGACCCAACTTGATAAAAAAACTTATACATGTGACATACGGGCCTATAAGACCAACATGATCATTTGTAAACTCAAAACATAGGCCGGCAAGGCCATACAAGCATCCGTATACATGACATCTGTCTACAAGACTCTAAGAGTACATACTTATCATAAAGGTCGGGACAGGGCCCTGCCATACCAAACAATACGCGTCTAAATCATACTGACCAAACAAGCAACTCCGGAGCAAATGGAGCGGACCAACATCTTCTGCTGAGCTGATAGCCTACTTGGAGGACTCTCAACCTGTCTATTGGGACCTACGGGCATGAAACGCAGTGTCCCCAGGCAAAAGGGACGTTAGTACGAATAATGTACCGAGTATGTAAGGCACATAAATAAGTACATAAAAGACATGGAAGAAATATAAAGTAAATGACTGAACCTGTAAGTCTGGATAACTCTGTAAATCATGAAATACTTATAGTGTCATGCATATGCGTATGAATGTCATGTCGTGCATAGGTACATGTATTCATAACATCATCAAGCCTCTGAGGGCGTATCATCTCCGCCACTATGGGCAAAATCATCAACGTATACCAGCTGATCAGGTGGTGGTGTGTATATAACGTCGTAACCTTTTCCCATATCCCATATACATATATATATACATATATACGCGTATATAACGCCATCTGGTCATGGATCAATGTACATGCATAAATGAATGCAATGCATGAGAAGTACGTCAATAAAAATTTTCGGAATGTCATAAGACCATTATGCCTTTGAATAATATCATGAAGTAAACTTTATCAACTTACGTATTTTCTGAGACCATGAACAGATGATAGAATAATAGGATACATGGGGAATCGAGAACATAGGCATCTCTAGCAAATCTATGAATAGAGTCATTTGTGAAAGTTGTGGATTTGCTTGTTTCGTTTGTATTGTATGGATCAAGGAAAGAAGGGATAGCCTTAACATACTTGAGTCGATTCAATTGACAATCCTTCTAACACACGTCTTTTGCGAAAAACACGTAACGGCGGATCGAAGTAGGGAAAAGTCCGTATGATGCTCTTGAGAAAGATTGTACCGTACTCCCTTAGAATTGCACGTCACATTGCTATTACAAAATTCAAAATGGTGTTGTTGTACATGGACATCACGTTACACAAATCCAAAAGTGGATTTGTATGATTTTATAAGCTCTCTTTGTGGCTCCTCCTTCATGGTTTCTAATACATAAGTCACAAATTAATGATATATGAATGTCTTTTATCTAGTGGTGTGGGGCCCACTTAATAGTGCTTACCTTAGCTACC